AAATTGTTAGAAAAAGGTCATCAAAAAGTGATCAATTTAAATTTACGTCTTACAAAGTAACCACATGGAACTAACCGCAGGGCAGACATGCATTTTCGGTGATATATGGACGTTCTCAAAATACGGACATGATTTTGCAGGAGAGAGTGGACATTGCTAGCCTCTGATGTTGGTGGGCTTTGGCCTCGTTTCAGGATTATCCTGAAATTCTCAACCTGGCACTTCAACAAATCAGAGGAGAGTACACTAAAAGGGACCTTTGAAGTTAACTGGCCCCCTCCCTCACTTGCCAAGTGGGAAAGCTGAGACCTAGTGGAGAGAAAGTAACTTGCCCAAGGTCACTCAGCCACTGAGAAGCAGCTCGAGGACTCAGACTCCTCATGCCCAGCTGTATTTCCTTCCACCAAGCTCCACAGCTCTGAGATAGGAAGCCCGGCATCGGGAAGTCCTCTTTCTGGGGAGACTCTGCGCTCGTTCCCCTACGGATGGCCCTGCGTGTTGCCAGGGGTAGTTGGTCCGCCACAGCCTGAACTGACTTCTTTAGCGGCTGTTGAATGGCCTCTTCAGAGCAGTCCAGGCACTTTCCATGGGGCTGCAAGGACTCGGCCTCCTGCTCCTGGCTCTACCTTCGCAAGATGCTCAGACTGTGCCATGAACGCCTACATTATCACTGGGTTTGCGCACCGGCATCCATGGATGTCGCCATCATCTGCCATCATGCAGGTTAAAACGTTCAAAGGCATCTTCAGCTTCTTTCTTACTCCCTCTCCCGTCTCCCCTCACTCTCAGCGGCACCGCTGACAGGTCCTCCTCCAGATTGTGCCCCACAGTCAGCTCCTGATTGCTGTTGCCACAGGCCCTGGCCATCCACATCTGCCTGCTTCCCAGCTCTCCCCACTTCAGTTCACAGGCCTCGATGGCTAGAATGGAGGGAGCTTCATCTGTGGTGCTGCCGTTCTCCTGCCCAAATCCCTGTCACCCCTAGGAAAAAGTCCAGACTCTAACATCACATCCACACACAGCCCAGTCCCACCCCAGCCTATTTCTGCAGCCCCAATTCCATTAGATGTTCCCCTCCACAGGTACTCCAGCCAGCTGGATTATTTGTCATTCCCTAAACATTCTAGGAATTCTGTGCATCGACTCCCTTTCCTTCTCTTCTGTTCAGCCTCTAGAGGTCTTCATTCTGCCAGATGCAGTGCCACTGCAAACTTCTGTGAATCTTCCCGAGGCATCCCGGAAGGAAGTACTAATTCTCTCTCACTAAGGAGAGCCTTTTTATCTTTGAAAAGATACCTCCTCATCTTTGTTCCCCTCCTCACCATAGTGCTTTATCTAGCGCCTTGCACAAATGAGGTGCTTTTCTTTCTTTCTTTTTTTTTTTTTAAAGATTTTATTTATTTGACAGAGAGAGACACAGCGAGAGAGGGAACACAAAGCAGGGGGAGTAGGAGAGGGAGAAGCAGGCCCCCCGCCGAGCAGGGAGCCCAATGCAGGGCTCAATCCCAGAACCCTAGGATCACGACCTGAGCCAAAGGCAGATGCCTAACGACTGAGCCACCCAGGCGGTGTTTTTCTTTCTTAATATTGATCGAGCACTGAACTATCTTGAGACACCAGGCCAGGCAGTGTAAGGGCTAGAGAAGGAAGATAGAAATTAACTAAAATGTAATCCCTGTCTTCAAAGGAGCTTGAATCAGTGAGACATGTTCACAAATAACGTAAGCAAGTGAGCTAACTGTGGGGGTGGAATTGGGTGGAGGGGAAGTGCTGAGTGTGGAGCAAACATTCTCAGTGTTCCAGATGAGAACACGGGTATTCTGATATGGAGGGCGGGGCGGGGGAGGCGGAGGGAAAGAAAGCGCAAAGCTGTTTTTTAAGTTCTATCTTTGTGCTTAGGTCATTATTAGAGTCCTTTCTAGGTCTGGCTGATGCAATCCATTCTTCCCCCAGTTCCAGAGTAATCTTCCTAAAGCAAGACTCCGATCATTTCTTTTAAAGATTTTATTTATTTATATGACAAAAAGAGAGAGAGAGCACAAGCAGGGGGAGCAGCAGAGGGAAAGGAAGAAGCAGGCTGTCTGCTGAGCAGGGAGCCCGATGCGGGGCTCCATCCCACGACCCGGGGATCATGATGTGAGCTGAAGGCAGACGCTTAACTGACTGAGCCACCCAGGCACCCAAGACTGATCATTTAACTCCCTGTTCAAATGTTTGCTATTGAATGAATCAAGCATCAAATAATTGTAGGCTTATGCTAGGCATTATGGAGAATACCAGTCCATAGAGAGGAGACCACGTCTAGGAAACAGCTGGAGAATAAAAAGCAAGAATATGCTGTAAAAGCGCTGGGGGACAGGGTACAAGATAAGTGTGTGATCACTCTGGACTGAGGTTAATCGAGAAGGAATAGAGGAGGCGAGATTTCACTGGATGGCCAATTGGCAAGAAAAATTAGATGTACTAAGTGAACTTTAGGATTCCTTTCAATTCTCGGGCCCCTATTATTCTTTGAAATGATTTATTCATTTATTCAACAAATACATGCTAAGCACTTGAACAAAATACTCACTAAATATTTACTGAATGCCTTCTCTGTGCCAGGAATTCTGCTAGACTGGAAATAGAGCAGTGAAGAGAAAACTTTGCACTTAAACTCTTATAGCAAAATAGAGATGGCTGATGTAAAGCAAGTAAGTGTAACAAAATGTGATGGATGTCACAAGGGGCGAGTGGAAGGTGCTCTAGGACTGCAGAGTGGGGAGCCTAACAGCCCAAGGGCCAGAAAAGTACCACGGAGAGATGATGTTTAAGCCAAGGCTCTAGTGCTGTACGTGAGTTAGAAGACCGAGTGTTGGGGCTGAAGAATATCATATGGAGAATTCTGAAGTTGAGAGATGGTATGGCATGTCCAAGTAGCTGAAAGACATTTAAAAAGGCTGCAACATGGAGGGTGAGTAGGAAGGGGGCAAGAAATTAGGCTACAGAGGTAGGCAGAGAAATTAGCTGCAGAGAATTTTGCTAATTCTCATTGATAAGCTTTTTGGTAACATTAAAATATTTAGCACAATGTGACACACGGACTAAGGACTTAATAAACTTAAGTACTTTTGTTAAGAGCAGAGTGAGGAATGAATGGATAAATAAATGCCATGGACAGGGGATGCATGACATGACTCAGTCTTGGGCATTTGCTCCTGGAAGCGATGCCGCTGTTACTAAGGCTTCATCCCCTTAGGTTTGCACAGTAGATTGAATCATGACCCCGTGGAGGCAGCCCCTAATCTTAGTAGAATGACTCCATCACCTGGCTTTCCCCAACAGACGGAATTTAAGTAAATCTGCATTAAAGTCAAAGTTTGTTTAGAGATAAGGGTAAAGTTTTACCTGGCAATCGTTTAGGCTTAAGCTGCAAAAGGGTAGCCTCTTTCTTAATCCTTGATGAAAAAATAGCCTTCTGAACCTCAAGCGTGAATATTGCCAAATTAGATTATTCATAGCAGTGCTTCGTTAGGACAGATAAGTCTAAGAAGAGGGAGAGGGAAAAAAAATATTCCAAAGAGAGATTTTGCCTTTTGAACGAGAAAAGAAAAGGTAAGACAATTGTGAAAAGCTAACCTGCGCCCCTCCTTTGGGAGGTTTTATGAGTCACGGAGTCTCGCCTCAGATCCCAACTCCAGAGCAGACACTTGTCTGGGACGAGTCAGCCACCAGAGTGAAATGCTGTCTCTAGAATGGGGGGGAGATTTTCAGGAACACAAGATGCCATTCCCGGGATTCTAATTAATTACCAGGCCAAAGACTAACACTCCACCCTCTTGTTTATAACCAAGAGACTTTCTCCTGATTTGCTGCAGAGTTGCATTCAAAATTTGGGAGTTGATTTGGCTCTCGGTATAAATAACATACCAGAGTCAGTGCCTAGTAGAAGGGTCCAAAACTATTCCTGAAGTCATCATAGCAGCTAAGCTTTCATTTGGCAGAGAGAGAATCTGAAGAGATCTTTAGAAAGATTTTTAATGCTGTTGCTAGGGACGTCTGTGTGTGTGTATCTGTGTGGGGGCGGGGGGGGGTTGGCGGCGCAGGGTTTAATATGTGCTCTCCATCAGCAATGTCTCCCTAACATAAAAGCAGCCTGTGAAGGTCATTTGCCATTTTATTTCAGAGAGAAACATGAAAAATGCCTAAATAAGCGGCTTTCTAGGAAATTCATTCTGTGTGTTTCATTAGTCATGTAAGGCATAACGTCCTGAAAGGAGCCAGGTGCACCCATATGTAGTCGGCATGAAAGGAGCACTGGAATCTTCCTCCTAGACTGAGCCTCTTGGTGTCCTAAGTCCCAGATCTGCTGACTACTTCCTCAGAACCTGCTCAGACGAAAACCCTAGCAATGCTTGAGCAGCCCTGAATGGATTGGGAGCTTTCTTAGCTCTTGCTGGGAGCTTGTAAAGGATTGCACACGTGCCTTAGGTGAGGGAATGCAGTGGCCACCTGTGTGCTTCTCGTCCCGGGGAGCTGTGGGAGTAAGGGGCTGTCTGGCCCCAGGAGAGCTGCTGATCATTTGCAGTCACAGATTGCTGGATGGGCTCTTGGTTCCCAGATGATATTTCTTTGCCTGCAGTTGACAGAGTGCAAAGCGAACCGGCTGCCCTGCTGCCCCTCTCCTCATCCTTGAGTGACAGCTGGTTCCGATTCAGGCTTGTTTGCCATGAAGCTTGTTGTCCCTGCATGCCGTTCCTAATGGACCTCACGATACGATAGGCTAAAGATACACTGAAGTCATGGCATCCTTTCACTACATGCACAAGAGATTGAGAAATCAAGCCTTCTCAGGGCTACAGTCCTGAGAATACACCTAGATTCCGAGCCACGCTGTCTCCCTCTCCCCTTTCCTCCCTGTGCATCATTTGCACTTCTATTTTGCAGGAAGAGTAGCTTAGTGATCATGGACTTCAGCTCTTGCCTGTAGTGATCCTGTTCACATTTTATTCTTTACACAGAATAGGAAGGAGGTTCGCTTGTTTTGCGCAGAGGCTGAGCCACAGGAGAAAGCAAAGCCAGTGTGATTTATTGAATGAAAGCGCTGGACAGTTACCAACAACTTGTTCGTCTGCTGCCTCGAACAACCTAAACTGGTAAGTAAAATTTATTGTTGTCTTTCTTCATATGAATGTGGGGCTTTCTAATTCATGGATTATTTTTTTAAATGTGTGTGTTTTGCTGTGGTTTAAATGATATAAAAAAAAATCTGCATCTTCCAAAGTTAGCTGCAGGCAGTCCAGGAAGAATGCACGCAAGCACATACACGTCCCTGTGGAGAGGCGAGAATGGGGGTGGGGAAGCCCCAGTGCTGATAATTAGGCATTTTGTTTTGGCAAGCTTGAGGACATTATGTGTTTGCCTAACAGATTATCAAGAGCTATGAAAAATAGAATATTCTTCTGTCGTATAAGATCATTTCCCAGTCGGGTTCCTGAGTACCTACAAAATACCTGTTGGATTAGGTAAAGATGGATCCCATCATGCTGATAATCCTTAATATAAACCCAGGCATCTTGTCTTTAATCCAGCTGGACATGCAGAGTGGGATACCAGCATTCTGTCCATCCTGGGTGAGCGTGCCCATGAATAGCATCATGACTGTGATGTCGAGGATACCTGCTAAGGGCACACAGTGGACATGCATGCAGACCCTTGCCTGATCCACCACGACTTTTGCACCCATATGCCTTACATCCTTTTTTTATTCTATGAAGATGTATGGTTGGTAGGGCATAGTAGGTTCAAAGTGGGATATCATAACGGTCTTGTTATCCATGCTGATCTTCGGCCCCGCCAAGGCCACTGGAAGTACCATTGATAATCAAGTCTGACTTTGCTTCTCTGCTGGGACACAAAATCCCTGTACTCACTTGATTTCTTCATGTCCCAAATAAGATGCAAGCCAATCTCTGCAGAGGGGAAAGGTGAAGGGAGAAAACTATTGCTTTTCCCACCACCACTACCATTATCCCGTCTTCCTCGTCTTTTCTTTGTCTGGCTACTACAAGGCTTTCTGGAAGCACCAATCCATTTCTTGTTGGTTCAGAATCCATATAAATGTCACACAGAGTCTACTATCTTTGGTGCACTCTATCTGCAGTGTATCACTGGCCATTCAGATGAAGTTGTGGCCTTGGGTGCTGACAAAGATGGGAGTAGAAAGGATCCCAGGCCACTCAATCATAAGAGCAGGGTCATTCTCCCATGTCATTTGGCTGTTTCACAAATGATGGCATTCTAACGGGAAGGAGATGGAATTGCCTAATGGTTAGAGATGTCAGGATAGCAGGGCACTTTTGCTCATTCCCAGACTGTGTGTCTTTAGCAAATTCCCTTACTCTCCCTGGATCTCCATTTTTCCATTTTTTCCCCTTCCTGATTGTTTCAAAGAAAACTGCTAAGCTCAATTAATTTATCCATGAGATACTACTTAAAACTTTCCAATTAAAGATGCAATAGGTAATCAAGATCATTGTTCATACACGTTAATCAGAAGACCATGCATCAGGAACCTATGGATGAAGGTTTATGTGGGGATGAGGAGATATACACACCTTCCCCATCAGGGGGGTACAGGGCACCCTGAAGGAAGTATGATCACACTCGGGGGATTAGAAGGGGAGGATAGAGCTGAAAAATGGCATTTTAAAAAACCACTTCAAATAAATAGGTCATGTAAATAATTTGTATCAGTACTGATCAGTAAGAGACTTTCTGTACTCATGATGCCAAGATACTGAGGATCTTAAGTGTTTTGATATGAACATTTTAGAGGAGTTAGTTCAAGGATCAGTAGAAACCACGTATAGAATTTATGTTCAAATTACCCCCATACCCATGCACATGGATTTAGAAGCTGTAAATGTACTATGATTTATTTGAGGAATTCTAGAAGATTCATTGGCCAAAAGAATTATCCCATCTCTAGGATTAGGTACCTGAAATTCTTTCATCAGGGATTCAGTTAAATATTGCTGTCTTTTATAAAACAAATATTCTTAGGAGGAATAACAAATTAAGACACTAGTAGTTTATCATAAATAAATGTATTAAGTATTTTCTTCCCCAGGGGAAACCCAAAGGATGTTGCCTTAATGCTATATTAATTCTTCTGCTTTCTATTTATTTCATACCTGTCTCTCAGAACTTCTCTTGTAATGATCACTTCACTCCTTTTTTTTAAAGATCTATTTATTTATTTGAGAGACAGTGTGCACATGCTAGCTAGAGGGTGGGGGGAAGGGGCAGAGGGAGTGGGAGCAGAGAATGTCAAGCAGACTTGGTGCAAAGCCCCATGTGGGGCTTGATCTCACCACCCTGAGCCGAAACCAAGAGTCGGACGCTCAACCCACTGAGCTACTCAGGTGCCCCTTTGTCATTTCACTCTTGATCAGAAAACTAAGTAGCCTTTAGGACAAGCTGTTTCCTTCTTTTTATAGGACGCTTGGATTAGATGATACCATCTAGATTTCCTCTGGGCGTTGAGAGTCACATGTGGGAAGCTGAACTCACTATCTTTCCCCTTTTAGATCCACTCTTCCTCCCGCATCCCCCCTCCCTTTTCTTAATTATTGGTGGAACCATTCAGCACCTAGTCAACGAAGCAGAGCTAATAAAAGCAATCCTCAGGTTTCCTAACTCCTCAGGTCCCTCCATCTGACCACTAACCAAGTTTGGTCCATCTTGCTTCCTCCCTCTTTTTAATCTACCCAACCCTCTCCATCCCCATTGTCACAGGCTGGAGTTGAAGTCACCAGCTCTCATGGGGACTTTTTCAAGGGCATTATACTTGGTTGTCCCCTGTCACTGGTCCCCTTCAAACCACCCTATGGATACTACCACAGTGATTTTCTAAAAATGCAAATCTCAGCCTTTCTCTAGTGCTTCCCTGTTTTAAACAGTTTGAAATCTATTGTCCCTCATCATGATATGCAAAGCCTTGATGGTCTGGCCCTGCTATCTCTCCAGGCTTCTTTCCCAAGGTCCTAGTGTGATGGATGAAATATCCTTTGGAAGTGTCAGAGCCCTAAAGAATTCCATTAGGGCCCCTATGGACATCAACTGACCAGCAACACTGTGACATGTCCTAAGCTGAGCTCTTATGCCTGGAACGCCCTTTCCTTTCCTTCCTGCTGGTTGATTCCTCATCCATTGTTCAAAATCTTGCTCAGTCATCACCGTCTCTAACTCGTTCCCCCATACCCTCTTTTCCCATGACACCTCCTATCACTCACCCCTCTATGCTTAAACATTTGAGAGCAGTGTTGGGAGGCTAAGCTCTCAGATCAGCTCTCAGATCCGAATTGCCTGCATTTGAATCCCAGAACTGCCCCCTTAGTAGTACCTCAATTCCTTACTATATAAGGTGGGGATAATAGTAGTCCTTACTTCACAAGGCTATTATGGGATTCAGAGAGCTGATGCACATAAAGACATTATTCTAAATAGTGCCTGACTCAGAAAGTGCTATAGAAGTAAAAGCCATTATCATTATTCCTAATTTTACATATCACACTATTTCATACATATATACGCTTGCTTAACTATCTTCCTCATTATCCTGTGAGCTCGCTGGGATACAGGTAGGGTAATCAACTTGTTTCAATTTGCCTGGGATTTTCCCAGTTTGAGCACTGAAAGTCCTGTATCCCGGGAACCTACTCAGTCCCAGGCAAACCAAGACGGCTGGTCACCCTATGAGGGTGTCTTACCTCTGAAGTCCCAGGGTCTGTCACAGGATACGTAGGCTACCAAGTAGATCACCCAAAGTGTTTATTGAACTATAGAATCAAAATTAATTGTCTTTTCACCTTCTTCCTTATAAACATCCTTTTAAACTTCAAAAATCAGTCTTCTTCCTGCTGTGAAGTCACCACTGACTTTTCAAAACTTTTCACTGAACAACTGAATATATATTTTTTAAATGCACAGGACTTGAAAGGTTGCTTCCACCCTGTTATATATTATCAGTGTAATAGAATCGGCCACTCTTTAGCAATCAGAGACATACCTGTCATGGTAACAGCCGGTGGGGAATAGGAGAAGGGTCATGCTTTCTTTTCTGTCTAGTGACAGGCAGGTTGAAGTGTGAAGGTCCCTAATTCACATCACAGCCTGAAGAGCAATCTTGTCCCAGTCAGAAATGTTCCCTTTGCTGAATGTATCTGTCTACCCAGCTGTCAAGAATGACTAGAGTTCCTGTTTCTAATATGCTTTGTCTTACAACTGCTCCTCTTCCAAACTGGCTCAGATCTTTTTTCACAGTACAAATATGATGAGAAAGTCCCACAACCAAGCTCCTGTGAAACAGGGACTCTGGACATGCCAGAACTCATAACGAGGACAAGATCTTCTCCTTAGAATCAAGGTCTAGGAAGAAGCTGACAGGCAGCCAGACCAAGCACCCTCGGGCAGAATAATAGCAGAATTGCTAAGAGCATGGACTTTGGAGTCAGAATCAATCCTGCCTCCTCCATTTATTGGCTGTAGGATCTTAGACAAGATACCTAACCTCTCTGGGCCTCAGTTTCCCTGTTTACAAAATGATGATATAATAGTACCAACTTTCTTATAGGGCTATTATTACATTTTTCTTAGCCTTGAAAGCAAAACCAGTTGTGAATGTTCTGTTGGGTATTGGGAGACACAATCTTAGGGCATCAAGAGTCAAGCCATCAAGGTAGAAGGGAAATGAGTTGAGAAAGGAGGGAACACAAATATAGGTGGTTTGTAACTGAACTAGCCAAGGCTTCACAAGAAAACACATCTAGTGGTTTGTTTGTGTGTGATTGCTCCCAAGAAGACCTCAAAACAATCCATAAGGGAAGAATGGAGAAAAAATTATCTGAGGTCTATTTCTGGTCTCCTGCCTCGCCTTGGTCCACTTTCCACACTTCCAGATAGTGTGAGCCAGTCCCTCAGGGTAGCCATGAGTAAAGCTGGAGCCTCCCTCCACGGGTCTGGTTGGGTCAGAGCTGCTGCAGCTACTGTCCCAGCAAGCATGGTGGGGGCCATGCCAGAACCCGCCCTTCACTTGACACAGCTGGTGTTTGGAGACAGGATAATGGTGGCAGCCAAGGCTCTCTACTACAGC